GGGGCAGTTGGGATCAACTATTCTGGCTGTGCCCCCTCCCAGCTTCTTGTGCACCTGGCAGAGCATGGGAAGCTGAAAAGTCTTGGACGGGCATAAGCAGTACTGAGCAACAACTAAGAACATCAGCGTGTTATCAGCATTATTCTCATCCTAAATCCAAAACACAGCACTGTGCCTGCTACTAGGAAGAAAAGTACCTTTAACCCAGCCGAAACCAGGACACAGGCGAGCAAGCCCTACGCCCGTGGTGTGGAGGTGATAGCGGGAGCGGGTTTTGTTGGCCCATAACCAGCCAGAGCTGGGCTTTCCGTAGAAAAAAACCCACGTGCACCGGGCTGGGGATTGCCCTGGGGCAGGAGCAGAGCCGCTTGGCGTGCAAAGCGGGGTGCAGTCCCAGCCGGGGGTGCCTGCCGCTGCCTCAGGGCAGGGTGGGACCGGGTCACTGCGCCGAGCTCACTCTCATCTCTCTCTCCCCGGCCGCCGCCAGATGAGGCAGGGAGCGTTCCTGGTGAACACGGCGCGCGGCGGGCTGGTGGACGAGAAGGCCTTAACTCAAGCCCTGAAGGAGGGACGGATACGAGGGGCTGCGCTTGACGTGCACGAGTCTGAACCGTTTAGGTAAAGCTCTGGCTTTTTCTTGGGTTGCCAGCTGTGGCGGCATGGCCGGGGGGTACCCAGCAGCCACACGCCTCGTCACACAACGCCTCGTCACACAACGCCAGCGCTGGGGGACAGTCGGCTGGTTTGAGAAAAGGCCTGGCACCTTGCGGCATCCGTCGGGGTTACAGGTGTTTGAGAGGACACTGGGAGCTTAGAACAAGCAATCAGCCTGTGGGTTTGGTTTTCCTTTTTTAAAAAAAAAGCACTCCCTAGTCCATGAGAACAAATTTACTGTGTTGAGCGTTGGGCATTTTTGCCCGCAGGCTGCTGCCGCTAGCTGGGAAGGGGTTGGTTACAAATGGGAGTACAGCTCCTCTCACTGCAGACTGGGGGCGAGGGTACTACTAGTAGGTTGCTTGCGTTTTCAGAAACAATTTTTAAAAAAAAAGAATGTATGCTCCTACAAAGGGGAACCCCCCTATACCCACCCATCCCACCTTGTGCTGGGTGACCTGCAAGCTGTCCCTGCATCTCCACACCGCCGCAGAGACAGCCCCAGGCGTTTATTCCTGTGGGAATATGATGAACAACCACCCAGTAGGTTGGGTTTTCAGCCCTGTTGGCTTTTTTTTTTTTTTTTTTGGTGCAGTTTTGGTGTGCGCCCTGCACTGGAGCCACGCTTCCTCCCCCATGGTTCTGTGGCCATTTCGGGCTGGCAGGGGCCGTCGGGCTCCTTCCAGCCCAGGTGCCGCAGGCGAGGGGCTGGGGACTGAGGCATACGCAGAGGGCAGGCCACGAGCCTTTTGCTATTCGTAACATATTTTATTCTCTTTTTAAACATTGATCCATCTTTCTTTTTTTTTCCTCCCTGCTCCCAGTTTTGCTCAAGGCCCGTTGAAAGATGCTCCTAATTTAATCTGTACTCCGCACACCGCTTGGTACAGCGAGCAGGCGTCACTAGAGATGAGAGAAGCTGCTGCTACTGAAATACGGCGTGCGATCACAGGTACCCAGCCGCGCGGAGAAGCTGGGCTGAGCTCACGTGGGCGCCGGGAACGTGAGCCAGGAGGGGCAGAGACTGGGCTTCACCCTGCTTGAGTCTCAGCCGGAAGCTGGGAAAGGGCTCTAACCCTGATCTTCTTCCCAGCGAAAAAGCTGAGAAACCAAGTTTGACTTTTCCATCATTTGGGCCTGTTTGTGCTTGGGTGAGGGTTTTGGTTTTGCATTGTTTTAGTTTTTTTTTTTTAAAAAATCAATGGGGCACTTGTGCAGCACGGCAAAGACTGGTGTCCATGACTGGGAAGGAAAGGACAGTGAAGCAATAAGTGCTGCCCCTTTTACCGGTGCTAACCCGAAAGAGGGTGCAGACCATAGCCCACTGCATGCCAAAACCAAATCCCAAAGCAGTGAAGGCACCTGCTTCCAACTCTTGCTGTAACTGAGCTTGCTCCCAGATGGTGGGCACGATACCTCCAAGATGGTGGGCATGATACTCCACAAACGAGCGGTTCTCTTGTCCTAAAAATTGCCCCCCTTGTTAACCTGGGTGGCATAGCTTCATGTCTGGCTAGCCCCGGCTTAGAAATCAGCAGGCTCGAGGCAACAGCTTTGAGAGCTGGGACTCCTGGTAGGGAGCTGGTCTCCAACCCTGCACCTCGGGACAGCCAAAACACCCTCCTGAAACAAGGGATAGGGGATTTCCATGCCTCCCCCCTGCTGCCTTTCACTAATATAGTGAAATGGAAAAATTGTAGCTTATTATTAGCCAGTGATGAAGCTCAGCCTTGCCTGACACATACTTACCTTTATTCCCAACTCCAGGGCGCATCCCAGAAAGCCTAAGAAACTGCGTGAATAAGGAATTCTTTGTCACAACAGCGCCGTGGTCAGTAATAGACCAGCAAGCGATTCATCCGGAGCTCAATGGTGCCACGTACAGGTAAGCCGGAGAAGGGGCCGGTGGCAGCTCCCCTGCAGAGGAGGTTTGGGATTCCAGCTATAAACGGAGCACGAAAACCCAAGCAACGACTTCCACATTGGCTCAGCAAAGGCCCCCTCCTTGGGGAGCAGTAGTCACATTGCTGGGATTACTAACGCTGCTTGTTTTAATCACGGGTTTATGAAGGCTCCCATTTATAAAGGTTTCCTTCTGGTGGGCCAGCAGTCACGTGGGTGGCATCTCCGTAAGTGCTAGGACCCCCAGACCCACGAAGAAGCAGGGCATCACTTCGGAACTGAAGAAGCGATCGCAGATTTGCTCTGCCCTTCTGTCCACGCACTGACTGCTTGGGCTGTGAGCCTGGCCCAGCTTGAGGGTTAATAAGCCAGGGTAAAAAAAAAAAAAAAACCACAACCCTCCAAATACAGGTCTGTAGTCAGGTGGCCTAATTTCCACCAAAATCCCCAAGACTGGGGTTCCTTATTGCTCCCCTTTGGACAGCTCACATCACACTGATAGGAGTCATGAGGGCTCAGCTGGAGCATGGGCAGCCTTCAGCATATCACCATTGCCAAAAATACCCGGAGATACAAAAAAATACAAGGCTGCGGGGCACATCAGGTCGTGTAGCAGGGCAGCGGCAGGCGGGAGTGCATCCGTGAGAGGGCAAGGCCCCGAGCAACGCCTGTGCCGTGGCCCCGCACGCTGGCAACTGCCTGCACAGCCCAGGCAGCGATCGCTCACTTTGACTAGGAGAACATGCAGACCGAAACACCCAAACATCCAAAGCATCCAAACATCCAAAGCATCCCGCTCGGTCCTGCTCCCGACTGCTCCGCAGCACGTGAGCAATGCCGGTACCCTGGGGACAAGCCTCAGCTTCCCGGCTGGCCCTCCGCCTCCGCAGGGAGCTTCATCCTTGCTAAGCTCCTCGGAGCTGCGGCCCCGGTGCCCCTGTAAGCTGGCAGCTGGGGCCAGCTCACCCCCGTCCCGGGCAGGTGAAACCTCCCTTCCCTCCCGCCTTCCCCCTCCG